TATTTAAAAACCCATTTTGTCATTATCAGAGAATACATGTTTATTGCTAAATATTTGCAAAACATATAAATGAGAAAAAAGAAGTACATATCCATGTATTCACTAGGTTAGGATCTCAAAGGAAATGCAGTTTTGCTTCTTCCTTAGAGAGACCATGAGATTTTTCTGTGTTATTCAACATTCTCCACAGACATGAGTTTAATGACAAAACAATATTGCAAAAGATGCATGCATCTTTTTAAAGCTAGCATTTATTACATGTTAAGAGCTATGTATAGCTATAGTGAAAATTTGGGGAAACTGTTAAATAACAATTAGAATTCCAGCAGTCTAAAAATAGCTATTTTTTACAAATTCGTGTGTATTCTTATCTCCTATGTATATATTAGACACAGCTTTTGAAAAAACTTCTTTGGGCTGCTTGGGTGGCTCAGTCAGTTGAGCAGCTGACTCTTGATTTCAGCTTAGGTCATGAGGTTATGGTCTCAGGGCCCTGGGATCAAGCCCCATGTTGGGCTCTATGCTCAGCAGGGAATCTGCTTTGGTATTCCTTCTCCCTCTGCTCCTCTCCCAGCTCTCTATTTCTCTAAAATAAATCTTTAAGACAAAATATAAACTTCCTTGAGGTATAATATACATACACTAAAACATACATATTTTAAGTGTTCTGTTATTGTATATTTCCATGACTTCAGCACACGCATACACCGGGGGGATGGCCACTATTATCAGGATACAGAACCTTACCATCATCCCCAAAAAGTTTCCTCATGACCCTCTGTAATGAAATTTATATTCCTACCCCATTCCCAGGCAACCACTAATCTGCTTTCTGTCATTATAAATTAATTTTGCCTTTTCTAGAGTTTCATGTAAACAATATTATACAGTGATTTGTTTGCATCTGGCTTCTTTGCTCAGCATACTCTTCCAGAGATTCATTCACGTTGTTGCATATTCTTCAAACTTGTTTTTACTGCCAAGCAGTGTTTCACTGTATAAATATATAGCACAATCATCCATGCATTATTTCTCTTGGATATTTTCCTTTTCCTTTTATCCTCGTAACTATATATCATAAGGACTTATCTCAGTATTTTAAAGTATTGGATATTAATCCATAATATGCATATATCCTAATTCACAGAACTGTTCTGCTGGATATGTAAGCTCTTTATCATGTCTTAACATTTTAATTAATACTGTTATAAGCATATTAATGGACTCAAATATTGGTGGAATCTGATTTGGAAATATGATAAAGGTACTGAAATATTTTCACTAAGGTTGCAAATGAGAAGTCCAAAGTCTGATTCCCTTTCAAAGCAAACTTTTTTTTATTACATAGAAAATTGTGTATGATTTTAAATTTATATTAGTTTAAATGGGTCTCTAGGATACGTATATACACATGTCTCTTTTTAAAATTTTTATTTATTTTTTACTTAAATTTTACTCAGTTAACAAACAGTACAATATAGGTTTCTGGAGTAGAATTCAATGACTCATCACTTACAATACTCAGCGCTCATCACAAAAAGTTTAATATCCTTAATATCCTTAATATCCTTCACCCATCTAGTTCATTCCTCTTGCATGCTTCTTCTTAACAAATGTTTTATTGGAACTCATTTGCCATCTTAAATTTGAAAATCCAAACTTTATTATAGCTTGGAATTTTAAAAAATAATCTTTTAATGTTTGCTTCTTCATTTTTTGTTCCTTTTATAACTACTCCTAGCTTGCATACTATTTCCATATTTGGTCTCTTTTATGTGCCTTAGCATTTCTCATATTTTTATTCATGGTCTATTTCATTGCATTTTTTCTACGTTATGAAATATGCCCTTTATTTGATCTAACAGCCTAACTTGTTTTTTTTAAATCTGTGACAATTTTATAATTTTTTCTATGATATTTTTAAAATCTCAAATCAAGTTTTATTTTAACTTCCAGAAATTCCTTTCTGCCCTCAAGTGCTATGTTTTAAGGCTTTTCATTTCATATATATTTGTGTATTCATGTCCATCCATATATACGAACATATTTTTTTCTTTTCTTAAATCCTTTTTTTAAGCTACCACATTTCCTTAAGTGGCTTGATGTCTTTCTTTGTCTTTGGATATCAATTGAGCTAGATCTCCTAAGCACATGAGTACTTGAAGGTAAATTTCTTTTGCAATGGTGAACTAGCAGGAAAGCTTGCCTTGGCCATTCCATTGAAGTGTATGAGGAGAAGGCTCATCAAACTTCTCAAAAGTAAGCCTGGAGAGGCTACTCTGATCAATACTTCAACTTCCTACTGGATTCAATGGCAACAAGCAGAGCTTGAGTGCAAGAACTGGGCCAGTGTAGTCTTGTCCTTCATCACTAGATGCCTGCTGCTCCATCCCATGTCTAGAGTTCTGCACCCAGTTTCATATGCAGAGGCAAGCATCTTTCCATTCTGAAAACCTTCAGTTTTATTCTCCAGCTCTGCAAACACTGACTTACACCTGTATGTTCTTCTTTTAGGACTCAAAATCTTGTATATCTGAGACTTCCTCCAGTTATTCTCCCAGTTATTTAGAAATTGTGCTCCCCAGCAGAATGTTGAGATCAGGTTAAAAGCAACGGGACCTAGTGATAAAGTTTCTCAAAAACCATGTATTAAATGTCTGGATTTAAACCAAGAACAAGAGGAATGCCCTGAGTTTTAAATAGGTGAGTGAATGTGATAAAAATCTATAGTTTAAGGAGAAATACTTTAGCTTCAGTCTGGAGAATATCCTTGGAGGCAGGGAGACTGGTTGTAATGGAGTCTCTAAGAGCCTGGATTAGAGCAGAGATAGAAGTTAATATACAAATACATTTGAGTGTTGTTTAGGTGCACAATCTGTAAAATCTGATGATAGATCAGCTGTTGGGACTGCAAAAGAGGAGTGACCAGGTTTCTTATTGGACTGCTAGATAGTTAGGCCTTCATTGAGGCATAGAACACACTAGAAATCTCAGGTTATATTTATTTTGAAGGCAATTTTTCCTTCTATCCTCTTAAACCCTCTCAGCAGCATATTTATAGGACTAAATTCCTAGAGGAGGACTGATTACATTAAATTGCATGCACATTTGAATCTTGATACATATTGCTACATTGCTCTCTTTAAAAGTTAGGTGGGCTTTTTTTTATTTGGTTGATCTGATATATGAAAAAATGATGTCTCACTGTCAATTTGAATTTTACCTTTTTTTCTTTTGGGGGAGTAAAGATGTTTAGAAGACTAGAGACAGATAGGTGATAGATAGGTAGATAGATAATCTATTAATATCTTTGCTAAGTTTTCTATTGGTTTTCTTTTCCTTATTGATTTTTTAAGTTTCTTTTTTTAACATAATAAGGATATCAGGACTTTGTCTATCCCATGCATTGTAAATATTTTGCCAGTTAAATATGGGGCTTCTCATATACAGAAAATTTTCATTCTTGAGTCAGATTGGTCAATTTGTTTCTTTTATGACTTCTGAGTTTTTTATAATACATAGAGAAGACTTCCAGAATTATACCATAATTATTTACATGTCATTCTCCCATTCTTTTATCTAATATTTTTAAAATTGCATCTTTAAGCTTAAATATTTAATTCATATGAAATTGGATTGACAAAAGGAGATAAGAACCCACATATGCCTACTTACGTTCCCAACACAATTCTCTGCATAACCCATTATTTCCTCTCCTGCTTTAAAACTACCTTTTTTTAAAAAAAAATCTATAAATTAAATCTCTATACAAATGTATCTCTCTTTTTTAATATTCTTCATTCTGTTCTAATGAATCTACCTATTCTTGTGTTAATCAAAACTCTTTCATTTATTGTGATGGTATAATATGTTTATTTTCCGTTGATGCTTTTCCCATTCATCACTCATTTCTTAATAGATATTCTTACAGGTTTATTTTCTACATAAACTTTAGAATCAGATTGGTTTGAAAAAAAGCTCATCTTGGTATTTTTATTAAGGTTAATTTAATTCTCAGATTTTTTTTTAATTTTTATTTATTGATGATAGTCACAGAGAGAGAGAGAGGCAGAGACACAGGCAGAGGGAGAAGCAGGCTCCATGCACCGGAAGCCCGATGTGGGATTCGATCCCGGGTCTCCAGGATCGCGCCCTGGGCCAAAGGCAGGCGCCAAACCGCTGCGCCACCCAGGGATCCCTCAGATTTTTTTATTAATTTAGATAAATCTGTTATCCTAATGATGTTGGATTCCCTTTAATAAAGAGAATTATCCTATTCACTTGTTCATTTCTCTTTTTTTCTTTCATGCATAAAACTGAGAACTTTCTGATTTTTTTCCATGAAAGAAATGATTGATTCTTTAGTCACTTAGCTCTAGCTAAGATTTTCCACATATACAAGCATATCATTTGCAAATGATAATTTTCCTTCCAATTTTTATAACTTTTTTTCTTTCTCTTGTCTAATTGCATAGGCCTGTAACTCCAGAACAGTGTCAAAAAATAGGGATAACAGTGTGCGTTCTTGTTTTGTTTTCCAAGACTTCACTGGCAATGCTTTAGATGGTCAACAAACATTTTATCAGCTTTCAGCGAAGATACCTTATACTGTTTCTGTACTTTCCAATTCTCCCGGGGCTTTCTTTACTTGGCTTTCTTGGTCCAGTACCTTCAACCCTGAAAATTCTCTACCCTTGTTTAGAGACTTAAACTAAAAAACAAAACTAAACAAACTAAACTCGTCTTCACCCACTGCTTCTAAAGCAACAACTGGAGTGGAGGAGGGCAGGGTGAAAAAACGTCTTGCTAAACTGCTTGGCAACGGCCAAAACGCAGGGTTAGAAAAAGTTCCACCTAGTTGAGGGAGTCGCGGTCCAGAAGCAAGAACCGGAGGGTGGGGAGGAGTCGGGGGGGGGGGGCCCCCACCCCCCGCCCCCGCCCCCGCCCCACGTCGGTGCCACCCGCGGAGATGAAATGTGAGCCCGGGTGGCCCGGGACGGAGCTGCCGCCCCTCCTGCCGCCGGAGCGCCGCGGGCGGAGACAAAGAGGCCTCGGTCCCCGCGCCCCCCGCGCTCCCCCCTCCAAGGCTCCCCCGAGGCTCCCAGGGCAATGGCCCGGGCTCCCCGCGACCCCCCTCCGGGGAGCTCGGCCGGCTCCCTCTGAGCCCCCCTCCCCGCCGCGACCCGGGCTCTCCCCTCGCTCCCCGCCCTGTCTGCGGTCCGTCCGTCCGTCCGTCCGTGCGTCCTGGCGCGCACCCTCCGGCCACCGGCGTGGATGGACGCGCGGAGGCTGCCCGGGTGCCCAGGGATCTTGCTTCCGAAGCTGGTCCTGCTCTTTGTCTGCGCAGGTCGGTGGCGGGGGCGGCGGGAGAGGGGAGGGGGACGGGGACCGAGCCCGGGGCGCCGTCGGGGCTTCGCGGTGGGCGCGGCGCCCGCGGCCTCGGGGGGGGGGGGGAGCCGGGCTGTGGGGTCCCCGCCGGGGCCCGCGCTCGACCCCCGCGCGCTTCTCTTCTGTCCCTTTCCTTTAGCTTTCCCTTTTCTCCTTTTCGCTTCGTTTCTCTCCCTCCGCAAGCAACGTAAAAACCCCAGTCCCGCATTTAGGGGGTTTTACTCTCTGGATAGGGGTAAAACGTATCCAGTCCCATCCAGGACTCAGGAATCTGGGGGTTGAGGGGTGGGAGGGAAAAAAAGTGCCTCTGAACACCTGAGATTGGAGATATTTGCTGAATTTGCTCAGGTTTTCCAAAAAACGAATGTGGTGACTTTTCCATTTCAGGGTGGGCTACCCACTGGCCCTGCCATCCATCCCCACACTCTGAGTATTTAGAAATTAAAAATCTGTAGACCTTTGGGATTTTTTTTTTTTTTTTTTTTTTTTTTTTTTTGCCCTTTAGGTCATTCTCAAGTGTGGCAGCCTGGGTGACTGGACGTTTTGATATCCCTTATAAGGTTTTGGAGGGGCGAAAATTCACCCAGAGACTAATCCGTTTTCATTGATTTCCTTAAGCACTGTTTATAGGTGAAAGGGATTTCACGTCCCTCCTCCTAATTGCTCTTCCTGAGAATTTGCTAATAATTGATGGAGCAAAGCGGTTTTCCTGTTTTGTGACCGAGGGAGCTCAGAATGGCCTTTCATTGGTTTTTCATATATAAACTTAATTACACGTGTGGCTTTGCATCTGCTTCCTATGGAACAAGCTACCAGCAAAGTTGCTTGTCAAATGTTTTCATGTCTCTCACTCCCCAGGACAAAAATCACAGGCTTATTACCTGTGACCTTGCAGTAGTAAATCTGTGTAGCGCTGTGATGTGGCTTTTTGATGTTTACAAAGATATTGCACCTGAGACGAAGATGTTCTTGAGCATTGTTAAACATCAAGAGAACTGAACTTCTCATTCAGCCTTGCCACAAGTGACTCCCCAGACTTCTATGGATATTTTCAGTTTGTGCACTAAAATGTAAATTAGTGGCTGTCCACAAGTTACTTTAAAAATACCTTATGGCAAGGGAAAGGCTGGCTTTCAAATACAAAAGTTTACAAAAGTAGGAAAAGTACTTCCTATTTAATGAGGAGAAGACACTTTCTAACCCGTTCACGATGCTTATTTCTTTTACTCACAGTGTGTGAGGTGTTCAGAATTTGAGAGACTGGAAGAAACGATCGCATTCATGTTTGTTTTGCATTAAAATTGTATCAGTTCATTTGGAGCAATAATTCTTTTCCATCTCTTGTGTTTATCCAAAGAAAACAAAACAAGAAAATAGAACACGACCTCACGCCTCTTACCCAGTGACCCCCTTGAACAAAAACTTACTCTTTTGTCTCTTGTATTCCCTGTGGTAAACTGAAAGCTTCTAATGTGCACACTTTTCCTTCCTTAACTCCTCTGCCCCCAGTAATAATAGGTGCAGTCCCCAGTGAGGCCTCAGGAAATCTGCAGAGCTGGCCGCTGGCAACAAGTTTGGTTAGTTTAGAAAGTTTCCTTCCATTCATTTCTGCTCTCCTTCTGCATCCCTCCTTAGTGATCACAAGCCAATAATACCAAATTGACTCACTGACTTTGATAAGAAACGTTGAGCTAATGTGCTCTTTAGTGTTATTTCCTGAATTCTTTGCTTCAGAAGTCTTTTATGCTTACCCTACCTATTTACCCCGTATTTATTGAGGGAAGTATGTTGAGTGATATATAGGACAGAGGCCATGCTCTAGGTCTTGTCTGGGAGGTAAGGCATGCCAACTTTGATGTATAAAAGGCTGTGCATAGGAGAAGTACAGTCGTGTGCCACAGGTGTTCACAGGAGGGGACCTCATTGCTGGCCTGGAAGTGTAAGCTCTATGAAGGTGATGTCTGCTTTGTTCCGCGTAATATCCAGAGGCTAGCAAAATACCTGACTCTTAAGAAGAACTCAATGTTTGCTCAGAGAAATTGAATTAAGAGGGAAATTTTAGGAACTAGACCTTTGATGGGGAAGCCTTGGACATAAGGGAATGCAGTAGGATATAATGTGAACAAAGGCAAAAACCATGAGATACGTATTTGCAAGAAAGACATAAATTCATTTTAACTGGAACTAGGAGAGGTGGCTGGAGGTGAGAACTGGGGTGAGATGGGGAGACAACGCAGCTCTGCAAGTTGAGACACCCTGTTAAATGAATTGCCAGCTTTCATGCGACAAAAGCCTGAGCAGATGCACTGCCCATAACCCGAATTATTTTCCCCCAAAGCAAATGCTAAATTAAAATCATGCTCCACTTGTTAAGGAGGTAAGAGCAAAGTTTCTCTACCTAAAGCATCATGTGTTGCTGTGGAACCGCCTTTGGAAAGAGAGCCGGTGAAGTTTATATTATCACCCGACTCCCGCCGCAGGCAGGCGACAGAGACAGGATTTGGCCCAGGTTTTACCTTCCCAGCCTTAGCCAGGGATTGGTGTCTCCTCCCTTTCCTTCCTCTCTTATCCTCAGCTGTAGCTTACAAGAATCATTTCTGAACCAGTGCTTGCAGCCAGATGTAGCTTTTCCTGTGCTACACATTCCTTATGGTGGGGTGAGGGCTGGAGAACCTCCTTCCAGATCATGCCTTTAATTAAAGTCACTGAAGAAAGTTTCAGCTGGCTATTTTTCAAGGATATTAACTTGGATATTAGAAGGAACATCATTTATCTGCTGAAACAATTGGAATGTTCTATTCTTTATGGGTGAGAAAATGCTTCGGTGTTTTCCAGATCTGATCTTCATAGAATTATTATTTTTTTTTGACCATTGGATGCTTTATTCCAGTGACCCAAGAATGAGCAAATCATAGTATAAAAGATAATTGAAACCAGTCAAACATAGGAAGAAGCCAAGTATTTATAGTAAAATGAGTTTTTAAATTAAATACAAATTTCAAGTTTTTTCCTTGAAAGAGAAAATGTGTAGTCTTACAATTTTATTAACAATAATTTGGACCAAAGATGATCTTCATAGAATTATTCTTAAATAAACTGGAGAAAACGACTAACATATTAAAATAAGATGTGAGGTGTGGTCAAAACCTCAGTTTGGAAATGTGATTGTGAATGTGTTTGCTGTACTATTAAATCTGCCCTTTTCGGTTGTTTAATTCTGGGAAGTTGACAGGAGTGCTGGAAAAGGCCATAAAAAAATAATGAACAATGTGTGACATGATCTTGATGTTTGGTGCAGGTAGATCCAGCTTCTTGGCTACAAGATAATGGGCTTGGTTTCCTGTAACACTGGTTCAAAATATTTTGATAACACCATGTCCTTATAATAGTAGTAATTGGAATACAACTATAGTAATTGGATCTTTGATATTCATAGAGAGCTGAATAAGATGTCAGTATCGTGGGCACCATTCAAAAGGCACCCCATGCTGCTACTTACCTATGGGTTGTCCCTCTCAGCTCTCCCACTGTCTGAATAGCTTTAAAGAACATGAAGCAAAACATCTCTGAGAAGCTTCTTGAGACAGCTAACTAGTCTAAATATTTGAAGTAACTAAACAGCACTAAAAATGAGAGCTGTAGAAATTCACTGAGAAAACGATAATCTTAAAAAGTGTGATATACTCTGCAAAAAAGTATACACTGTCAATAAATCATTAGATTGTGTTTCTGTCTTCAAAATTTAACAGTGGTTTTAAGTAGAGTTACTGAATCTTACAAGGGTAATTTTTATTTTCCTCTCATCTCTTCTTACCACATCTCAGAAATTAAAAAAAGACACATTAAGGTGGAAATAAAATCGAGGGGGAGAAAACATTTGTATGTTTTCACTTGCTCTACAAAGGCCATGCAGTTTTGACAAAGGTGAATGAACTTTGCTACCTTTTGATCACATCCATTTTTCAGAAATCATCCTGCCAGGGAGGTGATTTAAAAACAAAATCTGAATTTTCCTCTCTAGATAAATCAATTATGTGGACATACAGACATAAGGTAACATCTTGCACTTTTCGTTATGATGTGACAGGAAAGCAAAAGTGTTATATAATTTAGATCATAATTGATGTTACATTTAGAGATTGGGTTGGAAAGGACTTATTTTGTGATTCGTAAACACATAAATTATCAGCCTGTAACTTAATGTTTTCCTAATCATGTATCTGAAACTCACATGTCCATAATAATTTATAACTAAATGATAATAACATAAATCATTTAGGTGGCACAAAGAATTTTTAAAATCCAGGGTAGCTTTTATCCAGCATTTTGGGTATAATTTTCTTTATCAAAACATACGGGAAAAAAACAGTGATTTGGTTTTATCAGCTCCAACATGTCTTTTTAAGTCAGATAATACCTTCCCCCTTCCCACAGTGCTGTTTCAAAACTTACTGATTCTTAAATCTGACATTAAATAAATTCTTAATCATTTACACGTTAGTTATCTACAGGAACCTGTTTCTACAACTAACTCATTATCTTCCAATCCAGATGGATTGACAGGATATGCAGACTCATTTGTGCTACCATATGTGTGCAAACTATAATTATTAAGATTTTAAAAATGTAGAAAAAAGGAATGACATATAATGCACTCTCATGAAAATATACATTATTTAAAAATTATCTCCAGCCGACTTTATACATGTCAATAATACTTTCCATAAAATAAATTTAATTGGGAGTAGTACCCTCAAGTCAAGACTTTATCATTTAAAACTTTATAAGAATTCTATTGGGGCAGCCTGGGTGGCTCAGAGGTTTAGCACTGCCTTCAGCCCAGGGCATGATCCTGGAGACCCGGGATCGAGTCCCACATCGGGCTCCCTGTATGGAGCCTGCTTCTCCCTCTGCGTATATTCCGCCCCCACCACCTCTCTCTCTGTCTCTCTCTCTCTCTCTCTGTCTCTCTCTCATAAATAAATAAAATCTTTAAAAAAAAGAATTATATTGAAAAATTGAATGACTGATTCATTGGATCATTCATTTCTCCTTTCATTGTCTCATTCAACAAGTCTTACTCCATTATGGTGCTTGATCAGGAAATTAAGAAAAGAATGATCTTTGCCTCTTTTAAATTTATGTCCAGGAGGGAAGGGAGGCTAGTTTAGATGCTTACACATGTCTTGGAATTCTGAGTATGTAAAATAAATATCTAAATGCACAGAAGAGTGGTCGTTGACAGGGTGAGATAATTAAATAGAATACTTTTTCATGAACCTGTGATTTCAGGACTGTAAAGGACGTATGTGGTGTTTATTTTGCAGAGGATTGCCTTGCTCAGTGTGGCAAAGACTGCAGATCTTACTGCTGTGATGGGACCACTCCCTACTGTTGCTCCTACTACGCTTATATTGGGAATATCCTCTCGTGAGTACTGATCAGATTTGGCAATATTGATGCTTTTTCCATTGCTCAGCTGTGTTTTCACAAAGTGCTTTTTTATAGATGGGGCAAGAAATTTTGAGAATCGTTATTGACATAAAATCTTCACTGGAGATACTAAACACTCATCACTAGTGTTATATTATTTGACAAAATGTGCAAATTGATATGCAAAATAAGCTACTTTAATAGAAGGAACTTAAGTATTCTTTTACTGCTTAATTTGTGTTCTATAATAATGTTTTTAGTTAACCGCATTCATATTATTAATCACTTTTTAACGTTTTAAACTGTATGTTTTTGTCTGCTTTGTTGAAGGATTTGTAAGCTATAATGTGTCATTTAATTATGGCTAGTTTATTTTGCCATGTATTTGTCTAACCCATTCAGTAGATATCAGGGAAAAGAGGCATTATGAATTAAAACCAGTTGAGATATGAAATGTCAGTGTTCTACCTCATGTGTATCAAGCAACTTCAGGAAGTAAGTTTATGGCCCAGGAAAGGCCATCAATAATGTAAAATGGTAACCAACTACAAACATCAACGAAAGATACACATGTGTATGTGTTGAGCATTTCCCTATAACAAATTAAGAATTTATTTTGGAGGGGTGCCTGGGTGGCTCACTTGGTTAAGTGTCTGATTCTTGATCTCAGCTCAGGTCTTGATCTTGGGGTCATGAGTTCAAGCCACCTCAAAAAAAAAAAAGAATTTGTTTTGGAGAGGCTTCTGGGCAAAGGGAAATGAAAAAACAAGAACTGCTTTCAGGGTCGTATGTCTGAAAGGTGTACAAATCTCAGTTCTACATAGATTTTGAAGTTGAGAAGTTAGAAAATTAGGAATGTAAGAATTTTCAGAGTTGAAAATCACCCATGGCTTTCAAATAATAGCAAGAGTCTAGCCTCTTAGGTTAGATTCTTAGTTTTTATTTTTCAAGTGACTATCAGGATGATTTGGGAGCTGTTCTGTTGTGGCTTAACTCCTGCCCTGGGAAGGCTTCAGTAGAAACAGGAAAGATTAGGCATGAAGGGAAATGTGCCTGGCTATTTTGGGAATATGTCCACTGATATGGCTTATAACATCTTCCATTCCGAAGATAGAAAAGCTGGCACCACATGAACTTGACAGAATCAAAGTTGGAGCTGATGTCAGAGATCATGTCTCTCTGAATAAGGCTAAAAAGAATCATTTTGGGGGATACTCTTAAAGTCTATCATGGCTATATAAGAAATGTCAGGCTGTAATAAAGATTGACGAATGGAATTTAAGCATTCTTTGAAATGCAAAATAAACTCTAAATAAAATGTTTGAGTCTTGTTGAAAAAGTGATTAAGTTTCCCTCTTACATTAAAAATTAGTCAGAATGATATTTACAGGAATCAATCAGCTCAGAATACCCTAACTATGAATATATAATGATATTTTACATTTGTATATCACTTTAAAAAAAAACTTAAAATACGTTATTACTAAATTCCAATTTTATTTTCGAGTGGATTCCACATATGAGCTATTGCTGTTTCAGGTAGATGTGTAAGTGGGCCCAGTAGGTGGTATAGATTTGAGGAAACTGGCTTCAGATTAATTCTGTGATTCTTTGGTCCCCTGCTCCTGGTCCTATATATTAATGTCCACCATCGTTTGTGTTGTGTGCCCTTATTTCTCACCTCATAGCTACCTCTTCCTTGGTAAATATATAGAGAAGACAAAATTACTTAATTAGAACTTAAAACATTTAAATGTATAGATGTCCTTTGTATATTTTATATTTGCATTCACACTTACATTTTTAATGGCACGTATTCTAACTTTTAAATTTTATCCTTGGTTAAAGAATTAGTTGAATTGATATATTTATCTGGGTTATTTAGGCCATGTACTTGTTATGTTTGAAAAAGAGGAATTGTGTTGTGAGTGGGGGGAGAAGGAGAAACACAGATGGCATTATATTTTAGGCCGTTAAAACTGAATTTTCTATTCAAAATAGAAGCCACTAAGTAAATCCTTTGCTAAATAATTCTCAGGAGAAAAAGAGAGAGAGAGAGAGAGAGAGAGAGAGAGAGAGAGAGAGAAACCTTAAAGTGTTTTCCCCACTGAATAAAGGAGAATACATTTTCAGGATTTCCACTTATTGTTTAAGATTTGAAAAGAGTTCTTAACTCCACCCAAGCCTTTTTTTTTTTAAGTTGGGGGGGGGGCAAGGGGGGAGTATTTAGGAAAAAGAGTCATTCCAAGAATGCTTACAAAAGTTCTTTCATGCACATGTTTTCAAATATTGCTATTTTGGAACTCATAAACTACACTTCCTCTCTTCCAAGTATCCAGGCACATTCTTACTAAAATCATTTTAATCATCTTAACAGAAAATTAAATCTTTGTAGTTATTAGAAAAGTAATAAGGAAAAAAGCAATAAACATAATGGAATGTTATATATCCTAAATGACTAATTTTATAAATCGGTGATATATCCTAAATGACTAATTTTATAAATTGGTTATAATTTGGTTTCTATTTTCGTTTGTTTTCAAAATAGAAAGTATCTTGGCTCAGTTTAAAATGAACTAAAAAGAGTGCAAAATATAAATTTGGGTCATTCTAGACTGTTCACAAATTGGTAAGGTAAGGTACACTTCATCGTCATTGTTGAGACCCCTCTAAAATAATGAGAATAGAGATGTTTAGCCTTTCACTCTGTTTACTTCAACTCTCCTTTCTGTTTTGCAAATTAACCACGAAGGCTCATTTTTAAAGAGATTACAAGAACTAACTTTCAATTTACCTTTTAGTTGAAAAATCTTATTTTACTCATCTCTCTGCTTTTTAGACATTTTATACTCTAAATAAGAATTTATTTTGACAAATAAATTCAGATTCTACATCCCCACTTTTTTTTTCCTTTTTTTTCAGTTAGGAATTCTTAATTTTACTTACATCTCGTGAAAAGCTTTTAAACTTCAACTTTAACAATAGCATATCTACTTTTTAACTGAAATATAGTTGGCAGATAACATTAGTTTCAGGTGTACAACATAATGATTCAGTATTTGTACATATTGCAAACTGATCACCACAACAAATCTTCTTAAGTTGGTTTAAAATGGCCTGTTTACTTTTGGTCATTATGGTTACAGGTAATAAGCTCAAGACAGAAAAATAGTATCATTTTCCAGAATTTAAGAATGCTTTTACAAAGTCAGCATATAATATGCCATCAGTTATTTACAAATACATATTGAGTGCCTATTAATTACCATAGCAGTACTGAGCTAGATTCTGAGATCCAAAGATGAATAAATGATATACCTTGACCTCTAGGATTTCACATCTAATAAGAGAAAAAGTGTAGACAAATAATTTTAATTCAATGAATTAATCCATAAAGTGTAATTGGAGGGCCAGGAAGAGAGAAAACAGCTATGTCTTTGTGTGTGTATGTTTAGAAAGAAATGTTTAGGGGAAGTCTCATAAACATGAAATTGGATCAGAGTATTGAAGAAGAGTAGGTATTTACATAAATGGACAGTGAAGAAAGAAGGTACATTCCAAAGAGAGAGACTTTCAATTGCAAAGGAAAAATATAAGAAATGATCAATTTGAGAAAACCCAAGTCATTCGATGCTGCTAGAGAGCAAAGGTTAAACTTTGAATATAGCATATGAATGAGTAGAGAAGACAAAAATTGGTCCTGGCTTTCACATGCTTTTATTGGTAGATTACATACTTTTATTGGCCATGCCTAACAAAACTGAAACAAAATAATTCATTATTTTTCTGGAAATATGATGTAGAAATGGTTTTATATAGTATGACACATTCCTAGACACCACTGTGACAAGGGACACAGGTGAGAAGGTGCCAAATGGACATTATTTTCTTTATGCAATAGAGAAAGGATTTGGAATAAACACTACATGATGTACTATTTAGAACAACTTATGACAGGATATATGATCTTGGAATTATTTCTCCATTTTTGACATCTTCATCTCAAGGGTAACTACCTGAAGATTAAAAAGCTTCACTATGCTTGAAAGTGAGGATTGGGCCAATTGAAGAAGTAAACAATTTCTCATCAAATGGATTCTCAAACATTTCTTTCAGTCACCCTTTCTCATGAAAAATAAACATCTGTGAGGAATATGGAAAGGGATATTTCAATTTTTGCTGCAGATGAAGCTTAATTGGCAATTCTCGAGAGAGAGAGGACCCAGCATAAAGATGTGGTTGTAGAGTACTCTTTAGAATTGGAAGAATTCAAGGGGATAGAGGGAGTAATTGAGTGGTTAATTACTGTTGGTGACAGAACAAAGTAAAAACAGGACTTTACTGGAAATGAAGGGAAACTGCTATGTGAGGAAAAAAAGAATTGCCCAATATTGAATATGAACCCAGTAATGCCCAGGTTGGATTTACTGAGCCAGATAACAAGATATAAGATTTAATCTTTTTACTCAAAAATAGATTTCTGCTCTTCCAGTTTGCCTCTGCAAAATGCAGCTCCATCTAGGGATTTCAGAGCACCATCCGGCCAATGCAAAAATCCCCAGGGGGAAAAAAATTCAAGAGGAAGAACTAATAATGGAGATCCTGGTGGGATTGAGTTTCTTTTCTTCTCAATGAAATGTGAAAGATGTATTGCCCACGGTTTTGTAAGGACAGCTAATAAATATCACCACTGTGATTTTAGAGCGATGTTATGCATGGAAGCAAAACCAAGTTAAAAGATAAAGGTTTCATATTTTCAAATGGCATTTGAAGTCGTATGCTCATTAAGTAGCTGCTCATTCTGAATAAAACACGGGAGACTGCAGCATAATGCATTTTGAAAGGCCTTTGATATTGGTAAAAACATCATTTAAATTAATTAAATTAAAATATTCTTAGTCCTGAGATATAAAAAAAAAACAACTCTGAAAGGTGCTTACTGAGCAAATAGAAGTTTTTTGGGGGGTCTTATCCTTAATCATGACACAAAGAAATAA